CGTTGGAAATGCCTGCTGCTCCCCGCAGAATGCAGCGTCACTGCAGACAGACTTCCAAAGGAGCATGAGAAACAGTCAGTGCTTCACCTACCTGACAGCACATCCTTTGCAGTCACCTTCGATATCCCTGAAATTCCACAGTCCTATGGGCTTGCTGTCTAGAAAGGTTTCACCCATGCAGCCAGTGAAGGTGGTGACTCTTACAGCATCTGACTTCTGCAACAGAAAACACAAACCTCATTAGAATTTGATTTGAAGTGATCTGCTGTGTCTGAAAGCATAACTGGTATGAAAAAAACAAGTACAAGAAGATGCTTATTATTTTAAATATCAAGAGTAATATTTAATTTGAGAAGCCCTTCTATATAACATCTGATTAGCAAAAACGTGTGCTAAATGTTGTATCAATCAGAATGGAAGAGACAGTTTATATTTGAGACTCTGGGGAAGGTCTAGGTGGAAAGATTCCCCAAGAACAAGGAGCTGCCTTGGCTTCCATGTCACTGACGGCTTTCCTGGCTATTCAGGGTGCTGCCTGCTCCTACTTGTTCAAGGCCAAAGTGAGTTTTTGTTTTAGACTGTATAGAAAGGACTATGAGGAATCTTGCCCACAATACAATAAGCAAATTGTTTCTACTGTACTTAATGCTTAAAAGCATGGAAATTGAGCAGATTGTCCAAGCTAAAAGACCAACGGTGAACTCAACTGGCTACACCTGTAAAGTTCACGCTGAATTTTGGATGCAGAAAAAACTGCAGATGGAAAACTAATTAAAACTCACATCCCATCAAAACTCATTAAGCCAGGGTCACGCACTTGGGGTAATGCTCATTAGATCATAACGTGGTAACATGATCAAGATAGTAATATTTGACAGTACACATAGTACTCAGCTCAAAATTATCCTTCTAAAAATACCTAGTTTCATTTAAATTTCACTTCATCAATATGAGCTGATTGAAAATCTATATACTTAGCTATTTGAGACAGACAAACACCTGCTGTTTTCCATACAGCAATTACAAATATTAAGATCTTCCAAGTGAATACGGAGAAGTGCAACTCGAAAATATTCAAGGAAAAGTATGACTCAAAAGACTTAATGTGCTAGTGATATTTCCCAGGGTAATTGGGAAGGTTTTAATTAGCAACAAGTATGAACTTAATGTCACTTCTGAGAAATTCATGACACCTGAGTATCATAATCTCCTACTCTAGTCAGATTAAAGATGTTTATAAAAACTGAAAATGAACCTTCTTTCTGAATACACAGCAAAGATCCATGCAAAATGGGAGGTGGACAAAACTCCAGGACAAATCTAAAGCACTACAAAACCCAATAACATGAAAAGTAGATTTCTGAGACAGATTTAAAAATCATCAGTGATCTTGATAAATGTCCAAAGAGTTTCATTGTTTTATAAAAGTGTCTCAATTCAGGTCTTCATTTTCTGAGCCTGACAACTGTACCACGTGATGAAAAAAAAAATTAAAAAAAGTGACATTGTCATTTCTCTTTTAATTCCAGACTGTGTCTGACCAGAGCAAATCTGATAGTGTTTAAAACCCTAAACTGCAAATATACCAGCCATACCACACTTAGAATACACTGTCTTCCTACCTCTGCCTTTTCTCCTTATTTATCTGGAGAGAATAAAAGAAAAAAAATAATGGAAGGTTTTCCTGACTAAAATGAAAAAAAATTGAGAATTCTCCTGAAAATATCTGGATAACTATTACTGAGGTTGAAATGGTTGTTCTGGCATCAGACTTTTGTGGCATCCACAATTCCTGATTTAGTTCAGCATCGAACCTCATAACTCCATCCCACAACAGCATTATGTACTAAATTGTGCTACCCAGCTACTATCCACCTCCACCTCCCTGTATCTAATTAAAGGAGAAAAGAAAAACATTCAGGAAAGGGTTCAGATTTAAACATTACTGTGTTCCAGGTCCTTTTGTTTACCCTCCAACATCAAGAACACTTGAATATTTTTGCCTCTAGAGATTCTGCTAGATCTCTTTTTCCTAAATACACACTTCATGAAGCTTCATTGCCAAGTAATTCTACTTGACTAAATACTACTCAAATACTGTTAGCATTTAAATATTACACAAATAACCCAAAAAAATACTACTACTAATAAGCATGAAGTAAAAACAGCAGCTATAATATTAAATATTTTAAAATTCAAACTATTTTTTCTTCTGACAGTGCAATGAGATGACCTTTGCTAGGAGTGGTGACATTTTACCAGAGTGGTAGGTGCCAGTTTTGGTGCTGGGTTACTCAAGTAGTACTCTTTATATCTCTGCCTCACTTCTTCTACCATCAAACTGTAATACTTAAAGCTCTTTATTTAACAATAAAATATTTACAACACCTAAACCTAGAGGTGGCATCAAGTAAAACACACATTTTTATTAGTCTAATGCGACAGTTTTGCTGCAGACATTAGGACCAGCCACAAGACTATTTTATGCTGTGTGCAGAACAGCTGTAGCTGAATTTCTGTATAATTGATTTGCTGTATTAATGAAAATTCATTCAAATTAATGTAATTGATTCTCTGTGTTAATGTAAACAGAATTTCTTTTTTTTTTTTTTTTTAAGTAGAATTCAGGTAAAACCTCTGGTCTGGGAGGTTCAATGTTCTAAAGCTCTGTGAGTATAAATGGTATTACTATGTTTCAGTACTTGCTCCACTTGTTTTCTGATAATTCAAAAGTGAAATCTAAAATAAAATTAAAATAAGGTTTGAGTTTAGGTTGGTATTTGAGGTTGAAGTTTCATGACTCCCTCAGGGAATCATCCAAAGATAACAAACCAAAAACCACCTGAGCATGAATTTTTTAGGGTCTCAACTGAGTCAATGAAACTTAAATATTGTATAAACCAGACTCTCAAGTGCTTTTCTAAATGTGCAATGATGTAATTATTCATTTAATCATAATTATGGCACTTACGATTGTTACTCGAGTCGGTCTGTCTTCTTGAGTCTGCAGTCAGACTCTGACAGATAAGCATTTTAGTGAGGTGGGTAGACACACAGACATGGACTGGTGTGTTTGGCCCTTTGGTCATTGTAGCTACACAGCACTGCAAGGACTGAATAGTCCTGATTTAGCTGAATGGAGTGTTTATTCCACTGAGTCATTATAGCAGGATAAAAAACAGACATGAAGCTAATGCAATTAAATTTGTTACTGGCAAAAACAAAAGTAGAGATCAGAATTTATCTGATAGTAAAACTCCAAGAGTAAAAGAAACCTGAGAAGTAAATTAGGTGTGGGAGGTAAAGCACCTCTCCCTGGTTTATTTCTACTCCCTTAGAAAATGCAGATCAAAGGAATGGTGTAGAGAAACCCAGTGAGGTCATTCTGATTTTTTAAGGATCATTAATCTCTGCATTGCAGAGCCACTTTTAGCAACTGATGATTCATTAATTTTAGAAGTATGTTTTGAGGGTTCTTATTTAGGGCTAACAGAAGAAAGCAAACACCTTTAGTTGTGTCTAGATAGAAAGCTGGAAGGTAGCAAGGAAACCAGAACCTCTGCTTAAGGCTGTAAGGAGAACATAGACAAAGGTGATAGAAAGGCTGTTTTTTTTCCTAATGTGTAATTTTCCACAAAATTCTTCACTTGACTTCCTTGCCTATTTCCCGTATGAAATAAATTACATAAAAGACAATGCATTAACAGTCATTTACACCCTTAAAGTTCAACAAGAAATGTCAAGATTCATTGCATCTTCACCTTTAGAGCTTGAAAACGTTCATGATTTTTTTGTGGATCCATTTCACATGAAACAGAGAGAGTAGAGAAAGTAAATCTGAGTTCTACTAATATGAACTGACTTGAAATTTCCTAGCCCAAAATGTCATGAGATTTTTTTCCTGTTCCTGTGAATGATTGTCAAAGTCATATATAACTTGGTTAAGTTAGCTGGTAGTTGTGTAAGCCAGCTCAGATTTTTTTCGTGTGTGTGTGTGCAGAAGCTGTGACCAAGTTCTAAAATGAAACTTCATGACTGTGCTCCAAAACTCATGGATATCTTTGAAACTGAAGCTGGACTTGAAGACGCTGATCTCAAGCAAGTGGAATTTACATTCTCTATTCCTCTCGTATCCTTTGATTTTGTATTTGGCTCTCAAAATGTACATTCACACTTTTCTTTATAAGAAAGGAATATGTCTATCCACATATTCCCAAACCAGAAATATATAGAAAGTTGAACTTTCTAAAAACTAAAAAGCTGAACCACAAAATATGGTTCTATTATTATTCTGTTGTTCTATATATTGTTTGTATTTCTTGAGGACATATACAAACTTTAGCATAAAAAAAAAACCTTCTTTGAGTTCACTTTTTGGGAAAGTCTAAATGTTAGCTTTCTTGATGCTAAATGACCATTTTTTTTTTGTGATGTCAATATTAAAAAAAAAATATTAATCAGGAACAAAATAGTGCATTCAAATTGTTTTGCAATGAATGCCACTGGAAAACATATGCTAATTAGTACTTATTGGAGAACATTTTTTTCCTGAAAGATTTTCATCTGTTCTATTTGACATAAATCTTCTATTCATTTCCATTAATTTAAATAATGTAGAAGAAGTTACCAGAAAAAATAACAGGGGAAAAGAATATAAAATAGATCAGGGATCTGATACAGGTAGTAGTTAAAAAGAGGGGAAGTACATGGTGGTGGTGGAACCAGGACCAAAAATTAAGAAAATAAAGTAGAAACACTGAAAATAGAATGCAAAGGAGGAAGTGATACTATGGGTACATGGCAAAGGAAAAAACCCTGAATGCAAAGGAATATATATTGTTATATACATTGTTAGGAGACCAGGAATATATGGAAACAGAAATGAGTTCCTTTCACTATGATACTGAAAGCCTGTTGGAACAGCAGAATGTCCAAGAAAAATCATCCAGATACCCATCAGCAGAATGTCCAAGGAAAATCATCCAGATACCCATCAGGAATTAGTTATTTGGTCTAAATGCTGCATCCACACAGCCAGCCACCAGGCTTCTGATTAAAAGTTAACAGCATGAGCAGAGGTACTTCAGGTCTGTGCACCGACGTGTCCAAGCAAATCCCAATAATCTTTTGAGTGCAGGTGAACTATTTGCTACCAAAGCTCTTACCACAATGATGCCAGCATATTAAAGTTTACTATTTCTAGTGTAAGCAGTAACAAAAATTGTCCACATAAAAATACAGTAGGACCAGAGAAGACATTACCTTTATTTTTCCAGTTAAACCACCAACAAACAGCATGGCATTGGCATCTACATCCAGAATGGTGTATCCAGGTGGAGAGACAGCACTGAATGTGGCTGGCACAATGCTGGCTTTAGGACCATCCAGAGCTCGCACTGATATCGTGCCATTTTTTCCACTCCTAGAGATTTTAACAAAATAATTTAAGAGTCAGAAGTTAAACTAAACACAGGAAAATTTTATTTTAGATGACACCTTTTAATAGAGGTACGTATTACTGCTTTATGTTCCATTTTGATACAAATGAATAGATTCTTATGCCTGCCTAAGTTAAAGGCATGATCACCAAACCATTTATTTTTTCTCATCTCAAAGTCCTTTTTGAACAAAATTCACTACGCAGATGAAGTGGACCTTTCATTGACTAAGACAAAGAAGTTGCATTTTTAAAATTATTGTGACAAAATTAGTGTTAAACAATTGTTTCTCGATATAACAAATGACACAAGCACGGTTCCAAATTATATTTCTGAATTTCATACAGTTTATTAGATTATATTTGAGCTGGAATGAATGATCGTATGAAAAAAGTACTTCAGTTTCCTTCATTGTGACACACAGTTTATATTTTCTGCGGTGGAACTCTCTGGTTGCTTATCAAACAGGCACAAATCCCATTATGGCTGAGGATGTAACCTCGTTGTCCTCTATGGATCATACCAAATATTGATGGTAACAACAACAATGAAAGAATTTGCCGTTTGTTAATAGTTTCTGTAGCAGTTCGTTTTCTACTCATTAAGTTATATTAATCTAGTAGCTGGCATGGCAAGTTTGCTGACATATCCTTAGAAGAGAAGGAAGACAACATGGAGAGAGATGATTCCTCCTAGTCATTCAGGTAAACAGAAAGTTATTTTAGGGAAACTTGAATAATTTTGAATCCCTTGCAATGATTTGCTAAATATTACTTTAGTTTACAGCAGTATGGATAGCAGCTTTCCACAGGCAGATTACCACTCATTTAACAAAAGTAAACTATTCAGCATTTGTAGTCACACCATAAATTAATATTTCATCCTAGAGAGATGGACAATAATGAACACACAGTTTCTTATGGGATCATATTGTCATTCCAGAAATAAGAATGGAGTGTGATCCAGATCTTGTCATGTGCAGATGAAGTACCTAGTATGTTCAGTAACATGATGGAGGAGTGGCTGGGAGAGGAGGCAGGCAAAGGCAGATCACACACTGTGGATTTATGGATAACTTTGGAAATGGCTGCTTTATCTCCTTTTTAATAGGATGCTGGATTTCCCATGACCATTGTCATGTTAATTTGGAAATGGATGTCTGATCCCTAAGTCGCACTGAAACTCTCAGCATAGATAACAGTATTATTCAGAACTCTTTTAACTTACATGTTTGATATTTAATGCAGAAATACAACATTTAAAATAACACTTATCTTCCTTTTCCATAATAGTTTATGAAGAGTGTATACCTATCAAGACTGACCACCCATTTTTTAGATTACACATAGTATTTTGCTGGCTACCTGATTAGACTCAAATTACTCGGTACCTATTCTCAAGCTAGACAAAACTGAGATTTTTCTCAGAAAACAGACTTTCTAGCTACATCTGTGAAAAAGGTTTCTAGGGAAAGGAAGGAAGCCATTTAAAGAGAGGTGATAAAATTCACCGAGCATTTCCATGTGTAGCTTTTCTTGATTAAAAGTTACATACTCATCCTATCAAGATACTACCAAGTCACGGCCAGAGAGTAAAACAAAAAAGTAATTCCTTTGATTTTCTGAAGCCCTGAACCTTGCTGAATGGAAAGATGCAAAATTCCTTTTTGTCCAGTTAGGGGGAGGGAAAAAAAAAAAAAGAAAAGAAAAAAAAGATTGGCTTGGGGTATTGAAGTAACAAGCAAATCAGAAATTAAAAGCGTACCTTTCAGGAAGAACTGTCATTTCTGTTAAAGAAAACTTTACCTGAAGCACTTAAAGTTAGAGCACAGCGAAGAAGACTGCATAACTTAGGCCGCTGAATAAGATAAATGAAACATTGATATCCTGTACTTATAGAACTCCTAGATTTAGAAATCTACTGGATCAGGTCTCTGTAGGGTGGAAAAATCCTATAAGACTATGCATTTTATATCTAAAATGCACTCTTCAGAAATTCCTTTGGATGAGAACCTATGACCCTGATAGAATAGAGAGGAAAGGAATGTGTCTTCACAGTGGGGAGTGGTGGGGGATCAGTTTGTGGAGTGGAGTGAAGAAGTGCAATCACAATCACTGGTCACTTTACATACAAAAAGAACCAAACAAGAAGAACCTGAGGACTTGAATGAAATTAAACAAAACCAGATACCTACCTCAAGAAGTCTGGATAGCCTAAACTTCTGAACTTTAGGAACTAGTAGGCATGCTTAATGAACTTATACATAGTAACTTCTCCTCACAGAGGAGGCACAAAATGAAGTTACTGAGACATATATGTAGGATGTGAAGTGGGGTACGTGTCAAGGGGAACATGTAGTAGGCGGACTGGGCAGTCCGTACACTCCGAGTACCTCAGCCGATGGGGAAAGGAGGAGGAAAATTCGTGGCGGGGAAATCAGGATAAAAAGGGGGCTGCAGCCCCCAGCCAAACTGAGAGTCCCCACCGGGACATGCCTGTGGACTCTCCCTTTATTCGAATAAAGTAATTTTTTTTACAGGATTCCTCCATCTCCTTTGTGAACATCAGCTTCTGACAATGGCATTTTCTATACAACCCAAAAAGTGAAATGAGTCAAACTGGCAAAAGCCACTGAAATAAAAAAAAATTAAAAAAAAAATTAAAAAAAAAAAAAAAATTAAATTTGAGACATTTCAGTTTTGATAAATTTCTCCTGAATGGTGAAAAAGAGTTGCAAAGTAATTTTGAAGGATTCCAGTCAATGGGAAATACCTTTGCAGATCTATGCCATCTCACCTGCTTTGTAGTTGGGGATCCCAGGGCTTTCACTGTTGGCAAAAAAACACTGGAGCTCTTTGATTACCCACCCCGTACATTTTGGGTATGCAAACATGATGTCCAAATCATTTTATAGAAGTAGGTTAATACCATCCACATTATTCTAAAGACTTTTTTTTTTAAATGTCATTTTAATGACAATATTTAGCCTTTTATTCCAGAATCAACTGAATGCTAAGCAGACAGCTTTCTACACAGCAGAAATTCCAAACATTTTTTTCACAAGATTTATAGACACGAAGCCCTTTAAAGGATAAAAGTTCTTGTAGTAAGTGTTGAAAAACTAACAGTTGCTAAAGACTTTTTTTTCACGTGCTTAAGTTCTATGCTCTCTGATAGAAAGTCATTGGCACTTCCAATCTATATTGTGCTGAAATTAAAATTCCAGTTCAAAAGCATCCAAGTGCAATAATGTAGAAGTCACTGAGCAGACTGACACTTTTTAGAGTGTCTAATATGTCACAAATAGCATGGATGTCTTTTATCTTCAAACAGACTGAAATGCTGAAAATGGAGTCTCTTCAATAAATAATTCTCTCTTATTTAGGGAGGACAATTGAGCTTGAAGAAAGAACTTGGCTAACTTGACAGCAAAATGACGTTGCTATCCCGTGCATGACAAGTGTGAAGATATTGTTCTAATGACAGTCAGTTCTGCAAAACTGGAGGATTACAGAAGATGCACCAGCACTGTGCGGCTGATTACCTAAAAATGTAGGTAACCCCATGCATGTAGGGTTTGCCCTTTTGGAGATGTGTGATGTAAATGAGATGACTTTTGCAAGTCATCAACATTAGATTACAAAATAACATGTAGAAACCTCTGCCTCTTGACACCCTCATCGCACAGAAAATCTTCACTGTAAAGCACGGCTTAGATGTGCCACAGTAGTTTAAGAGTTAATTCTTGCTGAGCTCGGCTGGAGGTGTGTAGAGTGAACATGTGATTCAAGTGTCCTTTGTCCTCAAAGGACACTGCTTAAACTCTGTCATTAACAATTAAAACAATGGTAATCACACTTGATTAAAATCCCAAGTACTGAGATCCTGCTCCTAATTGAGGCCTGCTGAAACCAATTGACATTGTTTCACTGATATAGTGAGTCTCAAAAATACTTTTGTCCATTTGACTGTTTGCATGTTGCAAACGTGCTTTCAATCATTTTTTGTCACATACTGTTATGCCAGACTTTCCTTTCTTAATGGATACTTTGATTGATTGCAGTTCTTGATGACAATCAGATTTGCCTCTGTAAGCAGGTAACTCTGGAAGTGACATGTGTTAAATTCCTGTATCATTAAAATGTAGGGAATTATTTTAGGAATTCCTATAGAAATAAAAAAAAATACTTAAATTCCTTAAAAAAAAATCTTAATAAAATTTTAAATATTTCCATTATAACCTCTGCATATACAATCCAATTCAAAGTATTAGTATGCTATAAATAAAAAGGTGATGAAAATGAAAAATGTCCATGGAAAACAAATGCGGTAATTACTGATTTAGTCTTAACACTGTAAATTTTGGGGCAGATGTTAACTGAACATCTTTGATCATTACTCAACAGTCAGCTTTTTCAAATTTAGATTTCATTCAGTATGCTGAGTGACCTTAAGAATTTCATACTCTCTGTGCCACCACACCTCTTCTTTTTTAAGGCCATTTAGGATCCTTGATTAAGAACTACTGTCAACTTTTAAACCTACCATATAATTTTTATTGTGTGTCAATGCCTGACACCACTGATATGAACGGTAAAATTCAGTAAGGCAAGAATATCATCTTATGTCCCCATTCTAAGTGGATGCCCTGCTCCAGCTGTTCAGGCAGGTCTGTCAGGTTGCTGAAAAAGTCTGGCTGGAACTCAGCAAAAGTTTGGAGAAAAAAGGTGAAGGAATGAAATCAGTAAAACTCTCCAGCAAACTGAGGAGAGTCACAGGAGAGTTATCAAATGGACTAAAATGTTCATAGTTGAAGAACCTTCAGCACTCTATGTGATTTAGGAAGTCTGCCTTAAGAATACAAAATCATTCCTGAGCTCTTCACCCTAATCCCACAAATCCAGCTAATATCTCTGCAATGTAATTCTCCTAAACACTGCTCTGTACTTCGGATCTGTGCAGCTGTAATTGTTCTAAATTGCTGATACAGCAGTTTGTTCAAAACTAATGGCATGCACACCCTATATATCCCCAACAACCAGCTTAATAGGCAATGTGCTTTTGTAGGATGTGTGAATTTTTATGCTACGTCCTGGCTCCACGTTTTGCTGAAGCAGCTTTCTTGTAAATGAAAGTCTGGCATTACTGTGTCATGAAGCTGTTTTAGTATGCATAATATCAACTGGTGAAGATTTCTACAATCTGTATTGTACCCCAGTTTGTATTTTCCTAGCATTAAGGTTTCATTAAGCCAGCTTTTGGAGGTGGTGTCATAATTTTATTTAATTTTCTGCTCTGAATGGCTGATTCTGGTGATTTTACTAGATTATTTAAACTGGATGCCATTTCCTCTTCTGAGAGCTATGGATGTAACTGGAATTAGAGTGCTGTGTTCTATTCTTCTTTGTCTCATTTTCTGACTATATTATTGGTTCTACATTTAATACTATGTGAAATTAACTGTAATGATGCAGGAGAAATTACTTAGCTTCAAATCAAATGGCAATATACATGGTATTATCTAAATTACTAAGATCTGTTCAGAAGTAGAAGATAAAGGATATAAACTTACGTAATTCTTACGCTGTAATTACTACACCGTATGTGTATTTGATATTTGAATGGAAAAGATAAGCTTCAGCTAATGTGATATTTGAATATTAAGGTATCTATATTTCTGAAGTTCAGAAGCATTCAACAGCTGATCTCATATTACAAAGTATAGTTTAACTATAGAATATTTCATCTTTGAGTTTTCATAAACTGTGTATTTTAAAATATCTTCAGTTTGAAGAGACATTCTGCCTATGGAAATGGTGTTTTGAGTAAGAATCAAGATACTGGTGTATGACAGACCATTCATTTGCAGTACTGTATCAAGCGCAAAAATTCAGAAAAGCTGTTCCTTTGAAATTCAAGAAAAAAAGAATAATAATTACCTGTTTGAGTGCCATAACCTGTAACTGATTTTAAAAGGAAGCTAGTTGAAAAAGAGAATCGATAGAGTGAAGAGAATATAAACATAGATTGGTCATGGTAAAGGGGAAATATTTAGTGAAAATAAATTCTTGACACAGAATAATTGACATTTCAACAATAATTATAGTGTATACACTTTCACTAGTATTGGACATAGGTTCAAAAGCTTTCATTAAATCACACAAGATCTTCTTATATTTATGACACGATTTTTTTTTTAACGTTGATGTTTCAAACACAGCAAACATTTCCACGTAAACTTGAGGTTTAAGGGTGTAAAGCTGCCAACTTGAGGACTATGGATTAGAATCAGAATTTGTTATATTTAGCCATTTTTATTACAGGAACCAAATGTTGTAAGAGAATGATATACTTGCCTAGAAGCTTCGATCCGGTACCAAAACCCATCATCAATGGTCAGATCTGGATACTCTACCCGTCCAACACCAGATCCCACATCCCACAGGAAGCTCACCTTGCCTTTGCGCATCTCTATGGCCAAGAAGTCGGTCTACGTGAAAAATATGAAAAAAGAAGCAATCTCATACTTTAATTAAAGTAAGTTTTCAGAAGGTCTCAAGGGGCATCAGAAACCCACGTATAGACAGTAAAGTACAAACTAATTCTCACAGCATTCTAAAATGAGATTATCTTTTTCCTTCCTTCACTGGTTCAAGCAAAGAAACTTGAGCAAAAGATGGCAAATGACTTCTGTCAGTGATAAGCAGAAATGTTAATATTCTAGCCATCAACAAATATTTAACTCAGAGTAACATTGTTTCTCAAATATCCATTGGATGGCAGAAAGATGTCATGATTCCAGGCTAATACGTGATGCCATCTAGACTTTTCATTTTGTATTGTGTAAATAAAATGTATAGTTCAAAATGTTAGAAATAGAATATTTTTCCCATTTACCAAATGATTCTTGATTATTCTACAAGTCTGTCTCGTATTGGACTCATGGGAAACTGAATCATTCATCCTTATTATGCTTGAAATTGTAGTCCTGTCTTAAAATTACAGTAAAGAGGAGCTTTGACAGATACAAGATGATTAGCTACTGCATTCCCAAGAGCAAATCCACAACCAACCCCAAAATTACCCTGAATGCACTGTGAAATTTAAAGCTCTAATGTAATCCATGCATAAGTCTTCTAATTTGTATCTAGTTAAAATTTTAAAAAATATAAACAAAAATATTTGCTGGTCATATTTTAGATGTCACTATATTAATACCAAAGACAGTAAATATCTAGTTTATCTTAGGCCCTCTTCTACTGCTTTGAAGCCTCTAAGAGGAAAAAAAAGCCTTTCTCATTTATTTGTCAGTAATCTGATCTGATCAAGCAACCTTGACATGAGAAGCAGGAGACCGACTTACAAACTTGGCACTTCCAAGGTAAAAAAGCAGATTGTCAGCAACTACAGTCTTCACATTAACAATTATGGTGTTGTAAGTTCCCTTCTTTATTTCTGGTCTGTACGTGCGAATACAATTGCCTCCAGAGGACACAGACACTTTGATCTTCAAAAAAAGCATAGCAGAAAGAATTCAGTTTACTGCTTATCATTCCAGAAATAACTTTAGATGCTTCCAAATAATTATAAGAATATTACACTTTTGTTTTTTATTTCGCATTTCTGTGTTACATGTATCAGGGAATTACCTGGATAAGCACAGGAGTAGAAATGGAATTTTCTTTCTCTGATTGTTTATTAAAAGGAAATAAAAGCTCTTTCTGGTATTCAGATTTGAAATGACAAACTGTATGGATTAAAAATAGCTAGAAGATATACTGGTCTAACACAAGCAGCAGTGGAATTCTAGCAGCAGAGAGACTCTGTAAGTAGAATTTGCACCCAGGAAAATAAGCAGCACTCCTGAAGTGATCACAGCACACTGTTATTGGGTAGACAGCATGTTCTATTTTTTTCCTTGTAAAACCTCTGATTATGCCAACTTAAGACATATTTTAAAAATTATTTTTAAACCAACAGTTGTGTCTATCACTGCTTTTACATAGCCCCTAATGGAGTTGGTATTCATAACTAACTTTCATTTTCATAGCTGAGTGAAATGTGTGTGTGTGCTAGTTGATATGACACATGTGCTGCTTTCCTCAGGCTCTGAGCACAGATGAAAACAGTATACTGCTTGATTTCATGATGCTAGCATAGACATGATGATAGTACAATGCTATTTTAATTCCAGCAACACATATTTATGTATTAGAGTAGCTGTACATAATGGTATCACCTTGTGCTTAGGGCAAACTTTGCCGAAAAGGAGATTCATTATATGACCAAACTCACCATTTCCTTATCTCAGAAATGCTGAACAGTTAAGTACTTCAAAGTCTTTGGACAGAAGATGAATGTAACAAAACCATATCATCACTGTAGCCTGTCTTTCTGTAGTGTGCAAATTTAATCAAATATATGGAATACACTTCTTTCCCAGAATCCTATCATTTTGTAACTTTTTTTTTTTAAACATTTTTCAGGAAGTTTTCTTAGGTATGATCTTCAAGAATTTTATTCCTTTGCCACATTAGATCAGAAGCTGAATACCCTTAGTATTAACCAGCTGTTCCTTGAATTTAGAGTATTACTGAATCAGGACTCCAAACTCATTAAACGGACTAGAAATATATTCTTACTCAAATTTCAGTCCTCCCAGCTGCTACTGGACAACAAAAGTCAAGAATGTGGGAAAAGCAAACACACTCAGCAATTTCAGTGAGTTTTCAGTGAGCTTGGGAAGTTATCATTCCCATGTTCTATGAAATGAAATCAGGGGGGTTGATATCAGTGCTGAGGCAAAAAAAAATACATTTTTGTTTTCACAAAAAATCAGTGATGTTGCGACTCTTCTGCTTTACCTTCATCCACAATGCTTCTTATATAATAACGTTTCCAGATACATTCCTAAAGATGTTATCCATTTAACAAGGCAAAGAAACAAGACACAGGGTGAAAAAAATAAGAATATTATCTTTTTATCTGAGAAATTATGCTCCATTATTTGCTCTGTTTACACATGTTTAGAATTAGAAAGAATTCATCCTGTGGAAAAGAAATAGAAAAGCAGAAAATAAAATAATAATCCCCCCACTATTCAAAAGGTTGTCTTACTGAGAAAGAAGGCTTACCGAATTGGCTTGCTTCCGAGCTTGGTTTATCAGCTCTTTTATCTGAGAAATGTTTTTCCCTAAGTTATCCTGAAGTTCTTTGATTGGCTTGATTTTGTCTAGCAAGCGATCTGCTTCCTTTTCTAGGGCTTTAATACTGGAATCTGCATCAGCAACTTCATAAGAAAGATAAAGGGCAGAGTTTTAGACAATAGTAGCAGAGAGTAATTATATGGTGCAATAATAAAATCCAATAAAATTCTGCATATACAATACTCAGGTGACTGTATATGCTACTGTGAGGTACACATGGACCAGGAAGCTACCTGAACAGAATAAGGCAATTTAAGAATATTTAGAATCAAGCTAAAGTAGCAATAGCAGCAAATGCAGGTGTTAAAGCAGGATTTTGAAGCAGTAACTATGCTTCAGATTAGGATGACACTAATGAAAAACATTTCCTGTAGCATAATACACTTATACATTAAGTATTTACTTTCTGTGTTTTTGTTTTTATTTTTTTTTTTACTTCAATTTTGAGGAAAAATGCTACATCAATGAAAAATGGTTAGTTTCCATTAGTAATTTCTGAAACAAGTTCTTGAATTCACTATAATGGCCACAACTAGAAATAGGCTTTATTCTAGTCACAATGTGAAAATTCTGTATGTGTACTTAAAACAAATTGAAATCCAGTGGCAGTACATTTAAAATATTTTCTTTTTTTTTTTTTTTTCAGGTGAATTTAGTAATTTAAGCTTCAAAATACTTTTTTGCCTCCCAGCATATCATTAGTGAACAATGCCCTCTCATTGATAGTTCATCAGCAGGTATAAGGATTGCAACACTTGGCTAGCGTGAGAGTACGGGTTTGTGTGGATGACACTGGAAGGGACAAACCTGCATCTACCATAACAATGACAATAATAATAATAATGAAACATTAAGATGAGCATCTTGAAAGTTTGCTATCAGTGCCTGGGTTCTTAACTTTTCACATAAATGAAACTTGTTACCGAGTCACTTTATCTTAGAATCTTTAAAAAGTAACTGTTTAACTCTTTAAATGAACGTGAAATGCAGAGCACCATGCAGAAGCTTTGGTGGTAAGCAGTGAATCCTGTTTTACTGGAAAAGGCACAATAAAAGCAGCAAGAAAGAAAACATACGTACTGATTTCTGTAGGTAAGATATGGAGACACAGAAAAGAGAAAAAACAGAAGGTAAAGTAAGAAAATGTTTTGAAGATCTAAAGAGAAATGTCAAGTAAATTATGGGACAGGATTAATCTAAAAAAACCTTATTACTGTTTATATATTGCACATCCACATAATGAGAATTCATGGCCTGAATTTTGACATACAAGAGAGGCTATGTCTACTTTTGCATATAGTCATGAATACCAACATACTCACTATATATATTTAGAGTGGGGTTTTTTTGCATTTACTATAATCTCATTCTGTAAGCTGAGTATCCATTAGCAGTTGGAGACTGGTAAAAGTGTGCTTCTGGAGAACATCTTCCAGTTAAGCTTTATCTGACATGAAAGAGTTTGCAAATCTCAACATGAACAAAATAACGATGACTTGGGACAATCAAGAAATTCACTTGTAAACTATCACTCCTAATCTCAGCTAAAATGATGCTGTACACACAGTCTTAAAATACTTGGGCTGGGACAGACGGCCTAGTCTAGATCCAGCAGTGCCAAGAAATTACTGCTTTTAGGCCACTTCTCAGTTCTTTATCACTACCATGCTAGAGGTCATTAGCTCATAGATCAGTTTGTTCCATAACCTGCTGTAATCTAACCACACTATTTCAATCAATAACTACGTTTCATATTGTCTAAACTAGTATGGATCGGTCTGCCTGATAGGGATCATATCTGGGGCTCACTCATGTATCTCAGTTGATGAGGGATCAGGAACTTGCAATAGGCAGCCAGTGACAAACAGACATTTGGATTAATTTCTTTTACTGGTACAGCTATAATCTGAAGAGGATATTCCTGCTCAGAATGAGAATGACAGCCTCCTAAACTGGATGTTTTTAGGTGCCCAGCTTCATCAAGCTGACAACAATCTGGGGACCACAGGTTAGATGAGAAACTAGTAATTTTGTCAAGACAGTCCGGTTTTGTGGTCAGCCCTGCCTGTATACTCTTATATATGTTATAGTAATATGCCATAAAATATGTTGTAATTTAAAGTTCAGTTATATCCAACATAACCAAAGTGAAAATGTTAAAAAAATTGTCACATTTGATAGCAGAAGTCACTGTCAAGAAGAAAAGCTTACAAAAAACCATTTGAATCTCCTTTTTTTTCCTTTCTTCTTAAGTGTCTTCAGTGTTCTAACAAAATTAGTAATGTATATGAAAGAGGTCATGCATTTCACCCAGAACTGATTATCTGACTGACTGAAGACACAGTTAGTGTGTGGAATTTTGCTTCAACCAAGGGCTGAATTACCAGTCCAAACCTTTGATTATTCACTTTCTAAATACTTTAAAAACTAGTCTGTGGAACAAATCTATACACTACATGTTCATTCTGCTGACATTAGCTTTCATTTTGGACTACTAGCAGCAGTCCTTAAGATTCAGAATTCTTTTTATATATTAAGTCCAGAAAATAAAAGTGATAGAGATTCCTTTTATTCCAACACACTCTAGTAAGGCTATGTGAGTGAAATTCTGGAGTACCTCTGTTTCATTTTGAGATCTCAAATGAAAACCACAAGATGAAAAAACCTACCACCAAATAACCAAAGAAAAAGATCTTACTGCTCTTAATAGGATCCTTCACAACAGCATTTGTTTTTGCCACCTCATCTGTAAGTTTACTGTAGTTGTTTCTCAAGCCCAGGAGATCCCGGTTGAGGTCTTTAATCTGGGCCAGGACATCATTTGCAGTATCATTGGCTTGTCTTGCTTTGTCTTTGGCTGCCTGTACCTTTATAGCTGTATCTGTAGGTAGAAACGGATAGTGAAGTTATTATTATTGGCAAGGGTACAGAAATATCTTTCACACATTTTAGGAATAAAGTTGGGTCAAAATTCTAGCATCCGAAATTGTGTTGTGTAGTTCTTTGAGACATCCTAGTTCACACGTAGTAAGACATTACTAGTTGTAAGTGTGGATTGCAGAATCTGGCCCTTTACATCTGTTGTGAAACATCAGACGCACCTGAAGAAGAGGAAATACTCCAGCTCCATTTTTATGTAAAGGACAAACATTTTTCTTAGGTAAATTTTTGTGCAACTTTGTTGTTGCTGGTAACTCACTGGTTAACCTCTGATCAAGCGTCAGAAATATTTGATACTATAATAGAAATAGGACTTTCAACATTCTGATGTGCAGAGTTCAGAAATCTAACTCCGTGTGTTTCAGTTGAAATTGTGAAAAACAATACTGTGAATCAGGAGACCAAGGGAACATTGACTGAGTTAATCACATATATTCACAGACATCCATGGTGACCTTGAGCCAAAACTATTAGCGTAATCTTGCCCTACTTCTGTGCCCTCAAAACAGAAGTGAATGTGCAACCTTCAAGGTGAAAACATTCAGGTCTGGAATGTTATTGATTCTGCTATTGATAAATGACAAACCAGATATCTGGATATTCAGGTGGGTATTTATTGAAATCCTGTGTTAGTAAATCAGATTGCTTTAAAACAGATCATGAAGCTCAGGTATTTTTGTCATACTGGGATTACATCACATGATGAGCCAGGAGCACAGGTCGTGCTGGGTTTAGGGAGCTGCAGAATTTTTTGAATTCACACAGATGGGAGGAAGTGAGCAAGTAGAAAATGTTGTGGTGGACACTTCATCTTCCAAGGGAACCCACTTGAGATACCACTCTACTACCACACCACAGTGGAGATGCGGGACCTGCAGGAACCTGATTTGCCACCACCTGCCTGTGAAACCTTTCTTGGAGTTCCTTTCCCCTTGTGTTCTCCAAGGTGTCTTGATGTCCCTCAGCCATATAAGAATTTCAGAGTGCAGCTCAGAAGCTTGGACATCTCTGAAACAACCATGTAGAGATAGTCCCACTTGTCATACTGACTGGGGCTTCCTGTGCTAGTTTGTGAAGTTAACAGACTGCAGTAGTGGAGAAGGCACAGGAGCTTGTGATTTCTTTCAATTTCTGACCCAAAGACAGCTGAAGAGTTAGTTTATACCAACATTTTTCTGAAGCAGATTACACTATGACTGTGTGAAGACATGGGAAACATGGACATTTTCCCCATCTCAGGGAATCAACAGGTTTCCAAATGGTCTCCTAAGCAGGTCTTTCTTCTGTGGAATTCCTGATGCAAATGAGCCTATGGCCTGGGAAATACGTGATGCTTCCTAAGGCCATAGACAATTGGTGGGTTTGCCCTGCACACTGGAGAGTTACGTGACCCTTTTTACTCTCTTGAGTACAGATAGATTATACCTGTGCTCCAAACAACTCCACCCTTATTTCTGAAGTTTGGGCTCCAAAAGCCCCCCAAATATAATAGCACCATGAAAATACAATTGAAACCTTAACGAACCATTACCATCACCAATACTGAGAAGTGAAAGAACAGAGAGCTCTAATTGCCTTTTTTTTTCCACTTCCTTTTTTCATCATATCTAAGTATCTCTTTTTGAGGCCATTATTAGAGGTCATGCACCTTTCTGGCAGAGTGAAAGTTGGAGTTACTTCTATGTACCGGTCACACAAATTATATTTATTTTCAGCCATGCTTTAAATTATGCCTTCCCTGCACATGTGGGTGCATTACCCTAAGGTGATCTACGCATCTATCCCATTTTGAATATTTCTGCTTTTATTTGGCTGCTAGTATAGCATGGCCATAGGAATTATTAGTTTAAGCTGCTCTCTGCCTTCTTGAATCTTTGAAAAACAAGATATATGACAGGGTCATTTCCTCTCCCATCCTTATTCATTTATTCCCTGTTGGACAACTAATTTACTGCATTTTCTTATCCATGCCATTTACTTGCTCTGAATTTCATTCTTAATAAACATCTGCTTGTTTTTACGAGTGTCCTTGTCCCAAGAGCAAGCAACCTGTAACTTTAATCTGACATGAGTTTATTACATTGCTAATGGTTGCATATTTAAAATTTCTTTTATTTGTTTCATGTTTAGTATTCTGTATCCTAAGGGCAACTGGCCTTAGAGGTCCATTTTGTTTGACTGAGACATCTGTGCACAAGAAGAGAAACAGTCATGTCAATACCTATGGCCAAAACCCAGAAAGTGGCATCAGATGAGCATGACATTAAAACAGTTTTTTGTGAATGAGACTGATTTCAAGGATCACTAAACCTAAACCAAAAATTTTCAGTTATCTGGAGTCTTAAAGCCACAAAACTGTGCAAGATGAATAGTAAATTGTTTTTCATGTCAACTTTTTACTTGCAGTCTGAACCTTCCAGACCATCATAAATCAGACAGAACATAGATTTTCTTTAAAGAATTTTCATAAGGCATATCTTCAGTTTATAAAGTGCTCCCTAGAGAGAAAAGTCATAGCAGATTACAGTGATAAAGAGCTTTTTATTTTCTAAGACAAACATTTAGTTTATCACCATCTATAATGACATTGTATCTCCCTGTCTCTCACTATCACAATATGAAGTAGCTGACATCCTGATATTGGGATTTTAATGAGTATTACAGATTAAAAATCAAATTTTTTTTGGCTATATAGAATTAATAATGTGCAGAGGACTTCAGCATTAATTGAGGATAGCCTGTTCCAGTTCTAAGCAATTTACAGTCTAAAGAAATAAATACAAGACCAAAGAGTGACTGGAAATGATACTGCAACATAAATCAATGAGAGTGTGGTAGAACGGGAAGACATAACCCAGCAAACTTCATATTACTTTTACTTTAAAGTCAGTAATTCTTTATTCTTCTTGGGTTAAATTACACTGGTTAAATTATACTGGTTCATTAAACAGTAATTTCATAGAAAGACTTTCACATTTAAAGAAAAGTCTGTTTGTCTCAAATTGCATCATAATTCCTGATACCATAACTCTTTATTTCTGAAACCTTTTGCAACCTGCAGAAGCACGGTACATACGAACTGATACCGTGCTACTGTTTTCAGTTCACTTCTCTTTCATTCCTCACCTTCATCTTATTACAGTGGACAATGGTCAAAGTGGACACAGTGTGGACGTAGGCAAAAATTAATCGGATAGATGTTAAGTGATGGAAAATGAAACAAAAGAGCCAGGATGTGTCAAGTGTGGCAGGACTTTTCCAGCTTACCGTTAGGAATGGCTGATAGCTTTCCCAAGGTTTCATTCAGAGCTTTCAGGAGAATGGAATTCTTCTCATCAGCATCTTTCAGCCTGTTCTGCAGGCTGTCCAGGTTATCTCCCTCTTCTATAAAAAGTACAGAAGGTTTAACTCTTTGTTTCCACTACCATTTCTTTGCACATAGTTTAAAATGCATAATAATGAGCAATTTATTTATCTTTAAGATACTATATTGTGCAAATAAGGAAGTCCAGTAAAACTTGTTGTAGAGTTCACTGAAAATCTTCTGTTTCTTTAAGTTCCCTGTTTCCATGGTATCTAAATGCTTGATGATATATTCAAAGTCACACAATGACCCACTGATAGATTCAAGTGCGATGTTTAGTCACAGTTTTGATTCCTAGATTAAAATACAAATGAAATTTTCACTTTAATTGTTTGTCTGAGTGGAATGAGTTGAACTTAAGGTAAAAGAAGCAAGATCTCTTAGGTCAGCTTACTAAAACCCTCAAAGCTAAACATTTGTTCAAATTGAAGAACTACTACAAGTCAAAGGTACAGTTGTGTCACATTTGGTACATTACAGATGAAACTGAAGTTATTGCTTTACAGGTAAGTTCCTATTCTTCAGTGGTTGCTTTGAATAAAAATTATGCAGTTTTTTTTTAACAGTATAGCAATAATTTTTAACACTCTCATAAGCAAGATTCCAGGCTAAACTTCATGGCTATTTAAACAGACATTATTTCAACATTTGAGTAAAGCTTGAGACAGAAAATGGTAATTAATGCTTAAACTACTATCTTAAGAAGCATTTTTCACCATTTCTTCATATCAATATGGAACTTTTTTTTTGAAGAGACAGCTGTTAATTTCTTACATTAAAGGCATGCTCTACTGGGAAACTAATTCAACATCACTCTCCTTGATAGCAGGAATAGGAGAATAATTTGTAGAAAAGGACTTCAGGATACAAAGTATGGCTGTGACCTTCAGACATGTGGCAGGTTATTGAAAATAAACACCTAGTCTTTGGATATTTTATCCAAGAAGATGCCTGGATAGAAAAACATACTGGAGATGAGGTTTCTTGGCGAATTATAGTCACATACTTGTTAAAATCAAAAAGCATCTCTTTTTATTAAGGGACAATAATTAGATGTATCATTGGTACTCCAACAAGTCCAACAGCATCAGTGCTGTAATCCCTTTGTGAGAGAAAAAACAGAATAATAGATTAAAATGAGGTATTGTGGTTCATGTTCCACAAATTCTAAAAGAGTAAGGTTTCTTAAAACTAGATGTGCAAGAAGCAATTTGTAGAGAAAAATCAAACAAAGTGTGTATTACCTATAAGAAATCATTAATTTTTCCAAGACTATATCAAGACTGAAATAGCAGATGGAATTTAAATAAGAATCATACTTTTGTTAGACCCTTTGAAATGTCATTCAGGAAGAAGTCTGTTTGCTTTATTTAAACTAGAGCAACATACAGGACTGCATGAGTGCCTGGAGGTAAGCTTTCATTCCTGCAAAATGTCCTCCAGAAGAACAGGACATCTGTGTGAACTGTAAGAGGGACAATAAACACTAAAAGAAAGTTGGGAAGAATTCTATGAATCATAAGATAACTCTTCTAAAACCACCTTCATTTTTAAATGACAGGTTTTGTCCCCACTGCTGAATGAGGCTACGAATAATGTGATGTTGTTAAATCAGGGTGATCTCATGAGGTTCTGGTCTTAAATGCTCTGAAACTTTATCTGAGTTCATTTCTTGTTAAGTAATAATACCGACAAAACTGTTTTAATTTCCTCCATTTAATTCTGAAATTACAGACCCTGAGATATTTACTTGCTGTCTCTAGTGCCTTTTGGGACAGTAATGTTTATAAAGTGTGTTAATATTTCTGAGATACTTGATTCATTTCCAGTGATGGTGTACTAACTTTGGTGTATACTCTTAAATTATCTCTTTTTCTCCTCTTTACTCTGACAGATTCAACATTATGCTAATTATCCCCTAGTTATATTTTGGAAGAATCATGTTTCCAGACTTCTGTTTTCAGCTTTGTAACTATAGCAGCAAACAGATTTTTATGGATTTTAATAAGCAACGTGTCCCTAGAACTCCTGAAATTCAATACTGAGACTCCACCTGTTTAATATTTTTTCTTTTAATTACTCAAATACATTTTAACTGTTTTTTTTTTTTTTTTTTTTAAAAATTACAATAATAAAGCCATAAATAAGTGCCGTGAGGGAGGCTCTTACACAAAGAGAATTGAGGAGACACTAAGGCCTGTGTCAGCTTTCCAAGGAAATTGTTCATTTTGCATAGTGATGTTAACATGAAGTTATATTTTGAAATAACTTCTCATACTGTAATCCAGATGGCCTCTTCTGTAAGTTCTGAGCTAATTTTGTGTACAAATCACAAACTGAACTGACTTCACATCAGCTTTTCCCCATCCTTTAATTATTAGCATTTATGAAAAATGCTTTAGCTATGATCTGAAGGCCTGAGATTCGCCAGTTTATCATACAGGCAGCTACAACCTAAATTTGTCCAAACTACAGAGCTTATCTGACTTGGAAGAAGTTAGTGTATCTGCACTGAAAGATGCCAGGCACTGTCAATTCACATTAAACTGTAGGCTGAGGAGTATCCTGAGAAATTTATCTCAATCATGTTTCCACTTGATTAGCCCTGCGCAGAGATGGCACAGGATGCCAATCATTCATGGTTTATTATTCAAATCAATCTATTCATGTATCACCAAAATTAAATCCTAAAGAATAAGCAGGATCATGAAGGACTTTGCAGGTATTGGCCTTTAGGTTTTCTGGCTTGGCTAACATAAACAAAGATTTTCAATGTCTGTTTATATTTCCATAGTTAAACACAGCACTAGAGAATAAAGCATCATCTCTTTTTCCTCTGGGTGAATAAATTGAAGCTAGTAAAATTGAAAGAAAAAAACAAAACAAAACAAAACAAACATCCCTGCACTCGGATATTTCACCTTAGAGATGAACTTAAGAACTTAGTTACTGTTCATATGCAGTGATCTATTTTTACAAGAGACATGTTTTTTAAAGTCTCTGCAGATCATATATGTCACACTGCTCAATTACTGAGGAAGTGCCATCATTGCAATGCTAGTGGAAACAGCTGCCTTGTGATGGTATGATCAAATTTAGTTTTCCATGTGAAACTGCCCAAGAAGATATCATTTGGCTGTGCTACCCAATGCATATACTCCAAAATCAGAAAAAAAGATGGAAATCCATAAAGGAGCAACATATGCAGATGTTTTTTTTGATTGAATACTACACAAACGAAGTGGCAGTTACACACATTACTTTCTGTTATCGTTGTTTTGTTTCTTCCAAACAGCATTCTTGCTCCCCACACTGTCATCCTACAAAGAGGCAGATGGGCCACAAGATATATTTCCCTCTCCCCTAAAACAAGTAGACTTAGTAACTGTC